AATAAGGACTCTCTCTAAGTAGTGACGATTATTCATACATGTCATTGACTTGGTAAAATGCCAGATACGTGTGGTTGCTTATTTGAAAGTTTTCCCATCAATACAGTAGTTGAGTCACAGGATACAGTCAAAAGTCTAGAATTTTCAATGAATGAATCACATACTAAATATGCATCATCTTTTCAAACTCAGTGCCTATGAATAAGCTGCATGATTATAAAATGTTACTTAACAAAGCAGACCATAAGAAAGAAGACAGCAGACTATATGGAGCAAAATACAAGAAGTCTGGAACTCAACCACCCAACATATATTTAATGAATGCTGCCAGATGCTAAGCACAGATGCAGGTCCTGGGGAAAAAACACACAAAACATCCCTATTCTCATGAAGCTTACACTCTGTGGAATGCGACAGAAAATAAGAAAAGTACAAGCTAGTGATATGAACCGTGCAAAAAATTAGCAAAGGTAAGAGAGGACTATCTGAGATGAGTAGGTCATGTGGAAAGGCCGTTCTGGAGAGGTGCCATTTAAATTGAGATTTGAATGATGGCCAGGAGCCAGGCAGCAGCATTCCAGGGCAAGGAGTTAGCTACTGCCAAGGTCCCCAAGGCAGAAAGGAGCCTGATGTGTCACAGGACCTGAAAGAGGGCCAGCATGGCTGATGCTTGGTTAGCAACAGGGAGAAAGGACAAGGTGAGGCCGGGGAGGGTGGCAAGAAAGGAGCTCAGATTTTATGCTGAGTACAACGAAGAGGCGCTGGAAGGTTTTAAGCAGGAGAGTGACGTGGTCTGATTTGAATTTTCCAAGGCTAACTCTTACTGCTAAACGTAGAGCGCTGGTGAGGACCAAGAGGAAACAGGAAGTCCAGTGCGTCCCTTTGGGAGTCTGACGATTACAGCAGAGACGGAAAGAGAAGGATCTATTAGACTAATGTTTTGGAGGTGGAGTTGATGAAGGGATTGGGTTTGGGGCAATGACAGACAGATTAATCAAGCATAACCCTTAGATTTCTGTTTTGAGCAACTGTGTGGTGCATTTACTGAGATGGAAAGGTTGAGAGAGAAGGCTGTTTGGGAGAGGAGAGATAGTGGGTTCTGTTTTGGCCATCTTAATTTGGACGTGCCTATCACACATCCATTTGGAGATGTTGAGTGGGCTTAGAATTCCGGGGAGAGGTCAATGTTGGAGGCAGATTTCAGAGTTAACGTCCTAAAGATAGACCTAAAGATCAGGTCTGGATGAGAGAGAGAGACAGAGAACGCATAAGGAAGGGACGGGAGCCCAGTGCCCTCAGCCAGCAAGGTTGGAGGAAAAACCAAGAAAGATGGAGCTCAAATGGAGAAGGTGTTACGGCATGGGGTTAGGTGGGCACTGGTAAAAAGTGTAGCATCTGTGAGTGAGTATTCCACGCACCATGGTATCATTCAGCGCTGGCAAACACATTAATAATATTCTGGGGCTATTGTTTGTGTCAGCTGTCCCCGATTTGGTGCAGACAGACTGTACTTTTGAAATGTTAGCTAGAAAAAAATAAAGCAAAATTGTTATTAAGAGCCAAGGCAGTTAAGATTCTCCATTCTTGGCCATCAGGAAGAACTTATGAATGGCTTCTTTCCATTGTAAACAGCAGCAGAAGATCGTCAGCATCATTTTTCATGATTTGGTCTAACTGGGAAATTCTCATGCTTCATAACACATGAAACAAAACCCTTAATATCTAAATAATTCTTTGGTCTCATGCACACCGCCAAGAGATCAGATGGAGCCTATTCCTCTGATAGACTGGCTTGATTTGAAGGCAAATGGCTTTTTAACAGCAGTATTAGCTTCTTAATTTTCACTTCATTGCCCATAAACACATACACCTCAAGCAATCTGTTTGCCCCTTGAAATCTCTTAATTAAAAACTTTAACTGTATTTTTAAAAATCAGCACACTTCTTGACGGCCACCGACAGGTTATTAAATGTAATTAGATATGAACTTAAGATAGTGCACTAATCTATAGTGGTTCTTGATGGAAACTTATGAGTTAAATCTCATATCTAATAGGAACCAGCCCTACCAAGGGCTTGAGAAGGAGTTCCCAATGAAAGTGCTCTGATCCTGGCCTCGCTCGCTCCCACCCCCAAGTGCTGCCCACCTCCATTTAGCCCCAGTCGTGGCAGGTCTGCCTGTGTCTTCCTGCCTCTCACTCACCGCGCACCACTCCCTTCTCTGAACTGCTTCTTTCACTTTTGTGATGAGACAAAGCCACAGATCTGATCGGGCCACTCTCCAGCTTTCACATCTGCATGGCTTCTTGGGGTCCATGTCGGGTTTAAGGGTTTGTCCCTGAGTCAAACAGACCCAGTTTGGAACCCAGCGCCCATCTAAGTGGACTTGAGAAAGTGACCTTCCTGAGCCTCTGTGCCCTCATTTGTCAATTGAGAATAACCATGGTCACAAGAGAGTCTTGTCACAGCATTTTGATGTGGATTAAATAATGATGCAGGTGGAGTGCTTAGCAGAAGGCAGGGCCTGTAGTAAGCACCCGGCAAGTGGCAGGTCTTTGTAGTGGATGTGCTGTCTTTTTGTCTAACAGCACCCTTTCCTGGGGGACCCTCCCCTTCCCCTTTCATGTGGTTCCGGGGGTTCTAACATCTTAGCCTACCTCCCACCCTAAACCACCTATCACACAGTGGGCAAGAACGTCAACTAGGATTCAGTCTGGCTGCATATTGCTGAACCAAATAACAATGGCTTAAGTTAGAACTTTGTTTCCCTCTCATGTGAAAGTAATCTGGCTTGTGCATGGGCTGATGTGGCAGCCCCAAAGTATTACTAGGAACTTGAGCTCCTGTCTTTCTGATCCACCATCCTGAAACATGGCTTTCAAACTCAAAGTGGCTTCATGGTCCAAGATGGCTGCTGGCACTCCAGCCAGCAACTCCATATTCTCCATACTGACAGTAGGAGGAAGTGAGGGAAGACAAAAAAGTCTATCATGGCTCCCCTATCCCCAACATTATGGAGTCTTACTGAAAGTTCTACATAATAGTTCCATATATAGAACTAAGTCATGTGGCCTCTCCTAGCAGCAAGCTAGTCTTGGAAATGTAGTCTTTTCACTGGACACATTGCCACTTGAAATATGACATGTTTTTGAATTAAGCAAGAAGGGGAGAAGGGAACTCAGTTGGCAACCAGCAGTGTCTGCCATGGCACATCCCATACACGGAGGATACTGTCAGCACGTGGAGAACCTGAGCCAGGGAAGGGACAGAGAATGCACCAGAGTGAGGTGCCAACTGACGTTCCTTCTCCCCTTCTTGCTTTCATGTTTCACTGTGATCTTTACTCCCCCAGCTAGACCGAAAGGTCCTAGAGGGAAAATCCCGCCCTACCCACACGCACACTCCTACAGGCGACCACAAATGTTTGTCACCAGATGACTGAATGTACAGCAAGTGTGCTAAGGTTTGGCAGATGCAAAATATATCCCAGTAGGAGTCTTCTGAGCAGGGGCTGTAGAGTCAGACTTCTCCCTCTGCCTCCACGCTCCATGGTGTAAAAGAGAGATTAATAATGACACCTCTTCTGGGATAATCCACAATGCCTGGCACACAGTAAGATCTTAGGCAATGGTGGCCATTCATGGTATAATCGTTATTACCGCCTGTCGTTGACTCTGAGATACACTTTTTTTTTGAAACTGTAATAGCATTTATCCTATATGGCGTGTCATGATTGAATTAGCAGAGGTTTTATTTTCTGGATGGTATATAAGATCATGCTCTGTTTTACAATCAATAACGTCTGAAAATCAATGGAAGAATTGTTACTATCATGAAAGGAATAGAGGGAGGTGGGCACTGCTAAAAAGAAATTCGGGGCCTTGCCAAGTCAAAAAAGTCAACTGCTGATAGATCCCAAATGGAAAGAGATGAGACTGAGATGGTGTTTGAGTGACCAAGGCCTGAAGTGGCTCAGAAAGAGACAAAGAGAAAGGCATGACCTTCCCCACGCTGTGTTCTGGGAAGACTCGAGGGAGCCACCATTCAATCAAAAGAGAGGGAAGTGAGGGGCAAGAAAGGAAGGAAATAAAGCCGGTCTGAGACCAACGTCTTGGCAAGAACTCTGGGTGTGATTGCGGCCATGTGGAACCAGCTAGAAGCAGATAGATCAGAAGCTGACTGTTTTTATTGAACCTGCCTTGTCAAAGAAACTGTGAGCTATAAAGGCGTGTGATGCATACAATGGAATATTATTCGGCCATAAAGCAGAATGAAGTACTGACACACGCTACACCGCGGAGGAACTTTGAAAACACTGTGCTCAGTGAAAGAAGCTAGACTCAAAAGACCACATATTGTGTGATTCCATTTATATGAACTTTCCAGGTTGGGCAGGCCCATAGAGACCGAAAGGAGATTCGTGGTTGCCAGGGGCTGACGGATGCAGGAATGGGGAGCAACTGCTCAATGGACACAGCATTTCCTTCTGGGGTGATAAAAATGTCTTGGAACTAGACAGAAGTGGTGGTTACACAATGTTGGGGTTATACTAAATGCCACCGAATTGTTCACTTTTAAATCATTAATTTTATGTTATGTGAATTTCACTTCACACAAAAAAAAGATATTTACTATTCAACTGTGGGACCCCCAACTTCTCAGCAACAAGAAGTGGGAAATGCTGTGCAGCCCCCACTAAAGGCATGTTCTGAATCCCACATCATATACAGCCACTGGAGGTGACAGGAGAGAAGGGCCTCCCTGAGCACAAGCCAGGGGCCTCAGGGGAACCCACTGATGGTGGGACCCACCCCAATCTCAGGGGAGGCACCTCACCCCATCTGCCCAGAAGACTCCAGAATTGCTGGACCAGGGGCCCCTGGTGCCTTCCCCACTTGGAACGGGAGTGTCATTGCCATCATCTTGTTCCTGCTTCGCTCAGGGGCACCGGGCTGTGAGGGGTAGCTAATTTATCTCTTTGTTCCATTATCTGTTTAAAGGCCTCTGGGACACCACTGAGAGACTGCCATGCATCGCCTGAAGATGCGGGAACATGCTACCAAGCACAGCTCAAATTACGGCCATGGCGGCGACTGTTAGTTCTATAACCCCACATCTGCTCTCTCCTTTGCTGCCAAATAATCAAGCTCCTGCTTTTCAGTTGCAACAGTTCCACGTTTGTTAGTCTCCCTTGCAGCTGGGTATGGCTGCCACCTGACGAGGGCAGCATGATGAGCTGGGGGGAGCCTGAGTTAACCTGGATGGGCTGCTGCCATATAACCCTAGACTGCCTACCTCTAGCTTTCTTTTACATAAGAGAATAAAACTTTTTGCATTTGAGCCTGTTACTGGAGGTTTCTGTTATATGCAACCAACCCTAATGGTAATGGATGCGGTGGGCTCCAACCTAATCAATTCCAGGTACCGAAATGTGAGAGTCTGCAATGCAGCCTTAACGCCACCATCACTTGGGATTCGATGAGCCTCCTCATTCTCTCAGACCTTTCACAAATTAATCAGGCTCACTGTTGTACAGCAGATCTCTAGAATTTATTCATCTTGCATAACTGAAACTTTATACCCATTGAATAGCAACTCCCCATTTCCTCCTGCCCCCAACCCCCCACAACCACCATTCTACTCTCTATTCTCTGAGTTTGACTAAGTTAGTTGTCCCCTGTAAGTGGAACCACACAGTATTCGTCCTGTGACTGGCTTATTTCACTAGCATAATGTCCTGCAGGTTCATCCATGTTGTCGCAAATGCCAGGGTTTCCTTCTTTTTTAAGGCTGAATATTTTCCATTGTATGTATATAGCACATTTTCTTTATTCTTTCATCTGGTAATGGACATTTCGGTTTTTTCCACATCTTAGCTATTGTGAATAATGCTGCAGTGAACACGGGGCTGCAAATATCTTGTCCAGATTCTGATTTCAATTCTTTTGGATAAATACTCAGAAGTGGGATTGCTAGATCATACGGTAGTTATATTTTTAATTTTGTTAAGAGAGTAGATCTCTTTTTAAATGTTCTTACCACAATAAAGAAAAAGGGAGAGAGAGAGAGACAAAGAAAGAAAGAGAGAGAGAGAGAAAGAAAGAGAGAAAGAGAGAGAGAAAGAGAGAAAGAGAGAAAGAAAGAAAGAAAGAAAGAAAGAAAGAAAGTTAATCCCATTGTCTACAAAAAACATTATACAAATTCAATAAAATATAATGTTTTTAAAAAAATTGATGAGGGCACTAACAGCTTCTGGCAGAACGATCCCACAATTTCATACTAGAAATTGCAATAAGGTCCTTGCTAAGTTCAGGCCAGATGGTCATCTCTGAGCTGTAGGCCACCTCCCTGGACACCAGCCTTTCTAGACGGATCTACAAAGCAGTAAAGGAAAACAGCATTAATTACTGCACTTTTCTGTACAACATGTGCTTGAAAATTGATTGCAAAGCATCTTAATTTTACCCAGGATATTTCTTCACATGTCCCTAAGAGGAAATTCATTTCTGATGTAGTTTGTGGAATTTTGATTTTTGTTTTCATTTCGTAGGTGATTTCATCCACTGATTACCCAACTGACAATCACTCCCACCAGTTTCTGTTTAACATTTATCTCGTTAATGGTGAGAGAAGACGTGTTAATCAAGATAGCAGCCACTGGTTGGAGGAACATGGGTTTCTTTGATCAGACGTTCCCAAAGCTGGAGAGAAAGTATTAAGAGCTTGAAACCATGTATATTTTAATATAAACTTAATTTTTTTATGATTATAAAAGTTATAAATGCTGTCTGGGGATAATCTGGAAAACAGAAAGAAGAGACCATTAATCCTACCTCCCAAAGCCAAGCAGTATTAACATCATGGTGTATTTCCTTGGACTCGCTCACTCGCACGCTCTCTCTCTCCGTCTCTGTTTACACAGTTGTATTCGCACTGTATACATAACTTGGTGCCCTGCTCTATTTCGCTTAACATTACAACATAAGCGTTTTCCCCATTATTAACACTCCCTACTGGCCAGAGCGGAGGCTTATTTTCATGGTGAAACCTCGATGGTCGTCAATGGGATCATCACACCCAGTCTTCACTACACAAAGACAAGTTTTCCCCAAAGTTGGGGGCTGCTCCTGGTCTACTGAAAGGAACCAGAAGTGAGACAGTCACAGAGGGGAGGGACATGCCCAGACTTGTTCAGCTGCCCGCTCCAGGGCCCAGTTTGCTGCCCGCCCAGCAGCTCTGCTAATCCAGAAATTCTTTCCTGCAGAAACACATGCTGGCTTTGAACCCAGGAGGCAGCCCCATGCCGCAGCAGCCCCAGAGGAAAAAAATCCAGACACGAAAAGAAAAAGTAAACTCTGCGTGGGACTGCTCATTTTAATTTCCAGAAGAGAAAAGAGCCTTCCTGACTCAGAGACATGTCACAGTGAAGGCTACCCAGCAACCACAGGCCTGTCTGTAACACGTGGTGAGCACCCTGGAGGTTGTGGCGAGGCTGTGGGCCTGGAGAAGGGGAGCCAGCAGCACGGCACTGGCCAAAGACTGGACCCCTGGCCAGGCTCCCTGGTGTCTGATTTGGCTTCTCCGAAGCAAAACATCTTTTCTGCAAAAACGCGGGAACATGAGGGCAGGTTGTGTGTATCTGTTCACTTCTGTGTCCCCAGCCCCAGCATGTGCCAGACACTCACTGAGCATTTGTGTAGTTTATTGAATAATGACTCTTTTTACAAACTCCCTTGAAGGGGAGCAAGAATTATCCCTCTGCCCTCTAGGTCCTTCTGGCGGGTCTAAGAATTAAATTTATGTGAGACAGAATAACAGGAGAAATCAAACAAATTTAGTAACATGTATACATGGGAGAAACCGGGGAAAACTGAGTAGCTCACCAAAATGGCAGAAGCCACCACCTTAAATACCATCTTCAGCCAAAGACAAAGGAGGGTGTTGCGGGTAGTGGTTTGGGACTTCAAAGGGGAGGAGGACAATTCACATGGAGATGGAAAAGCAAATGTTTGGTAAACAAGTGTTTGCTGAGCCATCTATAGACACGGGACCCAAGAGAGAACTTTGATAAAATAGGCCTCGCTAGATGACTTCCTGTCTACCACACCTAGAGTTGTCTATGGTGATAGTTCCTTCCTGGGACAGACCTTCTATCTTAAATTCTTTTAGGCAGTTAGAGGGAAGGCCAAAGTTTCCTTCTGAGTCTTTTGTTCTTAAAAATAATCAAGCCTGGGGGCTAGTCCCATGGCCTTGTGGTTAAGTTCGGTGAGCTCCGCTTTGGAGGTCCAGGTTCAGTTCCTGGGCGCGGATATACACCACTCATCAGCAGCCATACTGTGGCGGGAACCCACATGCAAAATAGAGGAAGGTTGGCACAGATGTGAGCTCAGAGCCAATCTTCCTCATAAGTAAATAAATAAATAATCAAGCCAAAGAGACACAATTTTGGGTGGCAAATTCTGATCCCCTTAGATGTTGACAGCTAGAGCTCAATTTGAGCATTTTCTTGTGAAGGAGCGAATGCCTCCAGGGATGTATTCATGCTTAGCGGGCACTCTTCCTGGGTAGGAGTCAGCCTTCTCAGCTCGCTGTCCCTTCCCTGACCTCCTCCCCCTGGTAAGGTGACCTTGGCTTCAGCAAAAGAAGGGCAGAGGGACATCGGGGGTAGACATTGCACTGAGGAATGGAGGCGCAAGTGGCCATAGATAAACTTCCCTATTTCATAATTTTGCTTCAGCATACCTGCCTTCTTCAAACCTCTTCTTCTCTGTTTCTTATTCCTTTATCTCCCCCTAATTCCCAGGGCCCAGGACTCAGGTTAGTCCTATTAATGCTAAAGATAAGTCATGTTAAGAGAAATATATCTTCAATGGGCAGGCCTGTGTGCCATTTATATCATTTTATTTCTGGGAAATGCACTGACAGTTACAACTTTAAAAGAATACTTTGCGGGAGGGGGCCAGCCTGATAGCACAGCGGTTAAGTGTGCATGTTCTGCTTCAGGGGCCTGGGGTTCACCGGTTCCGATTCTGGGTGCAGACATGGCACCACTTGGCAAGCCATGCTGTGGTGGGCATCCCACATATAAAGTAGAGGAAGATGGGCACGGATGTTAGCTCAGGGCTAGTCTACCTCAGCAAAAAGAGGAGGATTGGCAGCAGATGTTAGGTCAGGGCTAATCTTCCTCAAAAGAAAAAAAAAAGAATACTTTGGACCATGTGTACTTTCATACATTAGACGTTGCTTGTCTGTAGAATTGTATGGGCAACTGGACCAATCAAGGGTTGTTCTAGAATCTCCCCTACCCTAGGAGACAGGGAGGCAAAGGAGTCTACCTCCAGTATAAGTGTTCTCTCTACAGTAGGACAAATAGACAATATGCATAATATATACACATACACATATCTTCATAAGCAAGAAAATTATAACCAAACTCTAAAATGGAAAATTAATCATTATCATCATCATCATCATCATCATTGTTGGCGTTATCATTTTGACTGTTATCTATGTGGTTGACATGTGCACAGCTCTGTGCTAGGCAACATGCATCTTGTCATGTAATCCTCCAACAGCTTTATAAGGCAGGCACTTTATAAATGAGGAAACTGAGGACCAGAGATATTCAGGAACTCACCCACAGGGACAGAGGAATCAGGGACCCACACCTAGACAGCCTTTCTCCAGGACCTGGACCCCTAACTACTCACTGTTATAAGGCAGATGGGACTCCAGGACTCCACCTTAAGTCCTGGCAGCAAAGCAGGGTGGCACTGGCTCTCTCGAAGTTGCCCAGGTGCCTGCCTCTCTTATTCGCCATGGTGGCCCCAGGCAATGCCTTGCACACTCGGAAGATGGCCGTTGAAAGGACATATGAGTGACCCAGGTCTCAAGGTGAGCTTCCCAAGTTGTTTTCAGATCTCTGAATTAGGCTTCCTGAGCTGTACTTAGGAGGTTGCACTTGTGACTTCTGTGCCCCATTCATAGCAATAAAACTCTGATGCTGCCTTGCTTGTCAGCTTGACAGTGGGTGAGGTGCGAGAGGGTTTGAAATTCCCCTGTCCAGCCACACAGACTCACCAAACATAAGAGCAGCCATTAATACAGGCATGATTGACTTGACAAGCACAAGGTCAGCTTGAGGAGCAGGCATGGTGGTGTAGAAGCCACGTAGCCATGACTTCCCAACTCTCCGTAGCCATGAGAGGTGGGAAGGGGCAGAAGGCAGGGGGCACTTTGAAAGAATGGTGCATGTGATTACATTTCCTAGTCTCTATAGCAGATAGGAGTGGCCATGGAAATGGGAACTGAGCTTGTTGAGTAGCACTTCCTAGAATGATGGGGATAGATAGTGGGCTGGTACTCTTTTTACCTTCATCTCCCATTCTCCACTTACTCTACTGCTACTGTGAATGCAGACATGATGGCAGGAGTTCTAGCAGCTATCTTGGGGCCATAAGCAAAAGGCTTAGAAGAACCACAAAGCCCTCAGCCTCTGAGCAAAGGCCAGAAACTATCTGCCTCCAGACTTCTCACTATGTTAGAAAAATAAACTCTTATGTATTAAAGCCACTTAGGTCAGATCTGTTACCAGCAGCTGAACCCAACCTCAACTGGCACACTTTCTGAGGTAGGCAGCCTCTGAGATAGTCCCATCTGATAATGGCCCATCACCTCCTCTGGGGAGGCCTTATGAAGGTAGAATAATATTTAACAGCTCCCAACGTTTATCTCTGGGTCTAAAAGTAAACATAAGCTTTATTTATTTCTGTGCTCAACTAAACAACACATTAATACAATGTGTTAAGGCCAGAAGCCACCTCCTGCTAGTCACACTGTTGTGTGATTCCTCTCCTTGAGTCTGAGCTGGATTTATTGACTTGCTTTTAACAAAGAATATGGCAGAAATAATGGAATGTCACTTCTGAGATTAAGTTATAAAAAGACAGTAGCTCTGTCTTGAGTGCTCTCGTACTAGCTTCCGTGTCACAAGGCCGCCCTACGGAGAGGGCCACGTGATGGGGAGCCCAGGCCTGCCAACAACCACATGCGTAAACTCAGAAGCAGATACCACCAGCCCCAGTGGAACCTTCAGATGAGATTGCGGCCCTGGCCAACAGCTTGACTGCAACTTTGTGAGAAGTCTCGAGCCAAAGACACCCAACTAAGCCATGTCCAGATTCTTGACCCACAGAAACTGTGACAGTAAAGTTTTATTGTTTGAAGCCTGTTTTAGACAGCTAGTACATTCTCCAAACAACAATTTTCTTGGGTTAATATTCAAGTTATTAGTGTCTATTCTCTAAGTCTTCTATTGTGTGTCTTAGCCCACACCATCCTCACTGAGATCTTGACACTTAAACAGAATGCTTGACGTGGGGCCTGGAACATAGCAGGTGCTCAACTGATAAATGAATGAATGACAGAGGCTGTGTCTTGCTGAGCTGTTCTGCAGCACCTGGAGCCTCAATAAATATTGAGCAAAGCACACAGGTAAAGATGAGGGACAAACAACAAGACGCATCAAATCAGCCAGCCACAGTTAGCGCATCAGTCATTCAACTTGGATTGGCACTTCCAGACCCAGCTCTGCGATTTACTGAAGGCAGATTCCTCCTGAGAGGCCTTATTAAGCTGGAAGAGTATTTAATGGCTCCCAATATTTATTTTTGGGTCTAAAAGTAAACAAAAGCTTTATTCATTACTGTGCTCAACTGAACGCCACATTAATATGATGTGTTAAGGCCAGAAACTACAATTCCAATGAACAGACTGACAACGAAAGCAAAAGCTCACCAATTTCCCTAAGAATATGTGAACTGAGGCCAAAAGAAGATCCAGTTTCAGAATCAGCTGCAAGGGTCGTGGAAACGATGATTGCAGCTGTTTGAGAGGCAATGAGGGGTCCTTCTTCACTGTCCAGTGCAGACAAGACTCTTAGGTTAGCCTGCCCCGTTTTCCATTTCTTTGTCCAAGACATTTACATGGAGGCTGGAGACAAATCGTAAAACCCATGGTGAGCTCTCATCTAAAGTAGGTCTATTTAAAAGCTTTGTGACAACATGTGATTGCCAAATTCTACTTGTATATCAGAGGGGTCAGGGAAAAAAGATTTTGCAAACTAGAGATAGAAAGTGTGC